GGGAAAGAAACAACTACCCTTTAATTCTGGCTACTCTCCTGCCCTACCTGAACTGAAAATACCTGGCACATTCGTGGCTGCTGCTCAGCCTTGGCGTTACGTTATTTCTCCTCCCAGAGAATATTACTCCTTCCACTGTAATAGTCCTGTAGGCACAGCGCTTCTACGTGTTACAGCCATGGAAAGTTCTGTTACCTGCAGTGTCCTCACTGGCCCATTGGAGTTTCTTGAGCAGTAAAGGCAGGTTTGGCTTAAATATGGGTTATGCTAAAATATTTATGTTCTTTCAACATAAAGCTATCACATCCATTTCCTGCATAGAAAGAAAGAGAAATATGTAATATTCCAGCTACTATTATTTGACTTTCAGAATCTTGGGTGGGGTCGACATTTCCTTATGTTTTCCTGAAATGTTGATTGGGATCTCTTGTCAGAGATGATCAGGGTTAAAAATAATTGTACAATTTTAACACCAGTTATCCTACTGGTCAGCAAAAATGGTAGTGCTGAGGGTTTAGCCTATCGGTGTAACAATTTTTAAGTACACACTTGAGAAGCAGCTCTGTGTATGACACTACTGTGCAGTTTAAAAGATAACTACTATTTGTTAGAGTCACACATGTAGAAAACATCTTATGGTTACCGGGGGAAAACGGGGGGAAGGATAAATCGGGAGATTGGGATTGACATTTATACACTACTATATGTAGAATAGATAACTAATAAGTACCTGCTGTGTAGAGCAGGGAACGCTACTCAATACTGTATAATGGCCTATGGGAAAAGCATCTAAAAAAGAGTGGATATGTGTGTGTGTATAACTGAGTCACTTCGCTGCACACCTGAAACTAACACAACAGTGTAAATCAACTAGACTCCAATAAAAAATAATTTAAAAAATAACTACTAGTTTTGTGCCAGGCACCTTGTGATGCATTATCTTATTTTAATCCTCACATCAACCTTATGTACTATTGCCCTATTTACAGACGAGGAAACTGAGGCTAAGAGAAGTTAGGAAGCAGGCCCCAGGTACACAGCCAGAGTGGCACAGGGGAATTTAAGCCTGCTTGATTTCAGAACCCTGTGCCTGGATTATATCATAGAACTAATCCTTCAGTGATTTCCTTGTAATCAGATGCTTCTAAAACCTTGACCATATAAAGACCTATTTTTATTTACATGATTACTGTAATTAGAAAAACTTTAAAAAATGAACAACACACATTAAAATGTACAACAAAATACTATTTAAAATGTTTTGTGAGAAATAACTCCTTGTTGCCGAAGATCTAACTTCATATTATGGACCCAAAGCAAAGGTCATGACCTCCATCAAGTGGAGACTCTCCTGAGCACGATGTGTGACCTGGAAGTGGGTCTTATTTAGCAGTATCAACCTTAGGGTCTAAATACCTTTTTCGGAGCCAAGATGGATCGTCTTATTTCTCACGTTGTAGTCTGTGTCGTCTCATTTAATTGGTTTCTGCCCAAGATTAGTGTTTTTGTGGTGCTTGGGCCTTGTATTGAAACTCCTCAGATATAAATTTGGCCCTTTTCAGCCCAGTTTTTAGAGAGCGGAGGCTGGAGGAAGGGCCTCTGAGCCAGGTGTGAAGGACAGCAGTGCCGCAGGCTCTCGGATCAGTGGGTTTTTCATCTTGAAAGTCAAAGTGCAATGTCAAGAAGCTCCTCTTTTATCAGCAGCTTCCCCTCTCCTGCCAATAGCAGGGGTGAAAAGGAAATGCCAACCCATGTGGTAAAGTCACAGCGGAGAATCTCAAACTGTTTCATTTATACAAACACATGGCTTATATTTGAGGTACAAAATTTTATTTTAAAAAGTCCATTAAAGATATCTTCTGCTTTTTGCCTCTGAACATTGATCATGCAACCTCTTTGGAATTTAGAAGAGAGGCACAAGGGATGCATTTAGAAAAGAAATCATCCAGCCCGTCCAGCAAGCCTGGGACTGTCTGCCCTTCCAGTTTTCCTTTTGGGCTATGTGATCCAATGCTGTGTGGCAACCAAGTAGTGAGCCTGGATATGTGTGGGTAGGAAAACAGGTTCACTGCTTTATAGCAGTGCTGTCTTTAACTAGGGCAGTTTTGCCCCTCCAGGGAACATTGGAAACGTCCAGAGACATTGCTGTTTGTCACAACTAGGGATGGGAGGAGGGGGAGAAGAGCACTGTTGGCACCTCACAGGCAGAGGCCAGGGATGCTTCCAAATGGCCTACGATGCACGGGACAGCCCTCCACGACAAAGAGCCATCTGGCCCAAGATGCCAACAGTGCCAAGGTTAAGAAAGTCTGCTTTACAGTACCACTTCAGTGGTTGTGTGTGTGTGTCTGCTGGGACTGGAGATTTAGAATCAGAACCAACAGTACTGTTACGAACCCACCAAACACCAGGATCTGTTCTGGCGGCCAGATGACCTTACCGCACCCTGTGTGCCTCCCTCCCGGGAGGGCTGAGCGCAACGGCACACCTGCTCTGCCGAGCAAAGGGCAGGCGGTGATGCTGGGTGGCCTGGTCACGTCAGTCTCCTAGCCCTCGAGTGCCTTCACTCCTTCTTGGTTTCAGGTGGGCTTTGAAAGGTTGAGTGCTACAGGCACAGCTAGCAGACTCGGAACCTGTCCTTTTACAGCCTAGCTCACAGAAAAAAAAAAAATGAAATTTTTCTGGGGGTAAACTAAGGAAGCTGCTCAACACTGATCTGCCCTGAGGCTCCAGTTGTAGCCAGGGGTGAAGCGATCAATACTCCCAGCACACCTGCTCCCTCTTCAGGGCACGCAGGTTGGAAAAGTACCTGAAGTGTCAGAATGCTAGGAAAGAACCTTTGTATTCGTCAGAATTAGCAGCAATTCTGTGCAACGACAGCCTGGGAAAGTCTGCTATTTCTGTTCTCTATTTTTCCCCCCTTGTTTGTACTCCTTAAAATCGCTTCCGTTAATTTACAGAGTGAAGATGGCATATAACTCCTGAAGCCTGTAGTGACTGATACAGAATTTGATCCTGAAGTTGAGAGACCCTGTAATTTTGGAATGAGCTGTGGTTGTGATAGAAAAAAATCCCATTTGACGAGAATGCAGCATTTTACAGTGCTTCGGTTACAACAGGAGCCTATGTAGAGAAGACAGTGCAGAATTAGAAAGCTGATTTCGTTTATATTCTAAAATATTAATTTTTTTTTCCTTGCTCAAGCAAAACGTCAAGAAACTGAATGAACAGCATCACTGAAGGTTATGGAATAATCTGAAAGAAAATGATCTCCCTTGAATCTCTCTCCCTTTCAAAACACTATTAGGCTTCTGTTTTGATTGGACCTTGGCCATGAATAGGTCTTCCTGTGTAGTGGCTTGTTTGCTGTAGATTTCTTTTCCCATCCTCCAGCTATGAAAGGCAGGAAATGATTTTTACGCACAGAACCCGTATCTGTGAGGGAAGAATTCTGAACCTTCTGAGGCAGCAGGCTTTCGGTGGGTCGCTCACTGAGTGAGGAGAGGGCCTCATGCTGCAGGAGCCCCTGTGGGCTTAGTTCTGGCTGATGTGTGTCAAGATGCTCAGCAGGTCTATCCTGGAACACTGGTAGAGGGCATAGGCCAGCTTTCCCACCGTGGCCCCCTTGCTGCCTTCCCTCATCAGCCACTTTTGGAGCATCTGGTAAACCTTTTCTTTTAGTCCATCTCGCTCGTAGTCATGGTCAATTTCATCAATCTGAGATTGGGAGAAGCCCAGCTTACGGGCAAGGTTTTTCCATTGCTTGCCCAGATTTTCTCTGACTGGGTCCAGGTGCTTATCAGTCAGGCTAGCGGTATTATCTGCCAAATAGAAAAGAGAAGGAGGCATCAAGCTATGGCCATTTGAACATCTAGCTTCAAAGTGAAGCTGTATAAAGTGAAGAGTCCAGGAGACGGTGAAAAAGATAATTTCTTCATGCTATGGTTGTGGGCTCATCGGCTGATACTTCACCCATCTGCCAGCCCACGTGGAGGAACCTCTTCCCCCCGGCCCGGGAGGTGCAGGTCTGAGGCACAGCCCGAGGCTTAGAGAGCAAAACCCCTCTGGTTACTAGGCTGTTCTGTACAACCTGAGCCACAGCCCTTGTTTCTATCACACATTCCTGATGTAAAGGGGGAAGACACCATTTTTGTTCCTTTTGGGCATTTTCCACTTACATCTGGCCAGAGTTAAGGTCATTCAACTCAGGATACCCTTCACCCAACAGTTTGCTTTCCTCTTACTGAATCAAGGAAACTGAGACCACCGGCTGTGAACTGGTTTGATTACACTGCCTTCCCTTGTCTTTTAATGGATGAGGTATTTTTGGACTTACCCTTCCCCTACCCCAAGTGCTGTCCTCTTTCCTCCTACAGCCATAACCTCTCTTTCTACTTGTTCCTTCCTCTCAGGCCTTCGTAAAAATAATAAAATGAAGCAAAATAAAAGTAAAAAACCACCAAAACACCACAAACAAACCCAATTTCTTGATCCTCGTCTGACCTCAGTAAGCTGAATAAGAGGAAAAAGACACCTCATTTTCCCCCAACTCCCCACAGTGCAGCTTCTGCCATCACCACTGGACGTCAGGTGTCCAAAATTCTGTCAACGCTTCACCAGGAGAGGAACCCTGGGTTTCATCAGATTCTCAAAGGTACCCTTGTCAACCCCAAAATTAGGAACTTCCGCTCTAGTATTTTAAAGACTAGCCTTCAAATGGGTTAGAGCGAGGATTGTCAAACTATGGCCCATGGGCCAAATCCAGCCCACTGCTTGTTTTTGTAAACCAAGTTTTATTAGAACACAGTGACGCCCATCCGTGTACATACTGTCTGTGGCTGCTATTGTACTACAGTGTTAGCTGAGCAGCTGCAACAGAGACCTCAGGACCAGTGAAGCCTAGAACATTTACTACCTGGCCCTTGATTAAAAAAAATTGCCCATCCTAGGGTTAATTAGAAAGCTGGGTTCTTAAATCACATTGCTTTGGCCTCGTGACTGCTTTTCCCAGGTTGTGTTTTGGGATTAATGTTATGAGGCTGCATAGTGGAACCCCATAAGAGAAAGCCCTCTTATTTTTATTATGCATGTGCAGTTGAGGGCATAGTCTTCTATCTTTTACAGAATCCCTTTGGATGAGGACCTGAGGGAGCTACTGCTGCTAGGTCTAGGTACTAATACTGATGCGATGATGATGATGGTGTGTTTAACACTTGTATATCTTACTATGTGCCAGGCAGTGTACTAAGCTCTTTATTCATATTGACTCGTTTAATTTTCACAGCAAATCCATGAATTAGATATTCTAATTATCTCCACAGTAAACATAAATAAGTTACAAAGAATTACACGGAAATTACAGAGCTATTTTAGAGAGGAAAGATAGGGCACTTTCACGGAGAATAATCAGAGAAATATTAGATAAGACAGTTCAAGGTTACTATAGATGGGTCCTTCAAGGGCATCTTACCAAAGATATCTTGGTACTTAGAAGCTGGGTCTTCTTTCAAGTTCATGTACATGCTGTCCGGTACCAATGAACTCATTCCACCAATCTCCATATAATTATTGTTTCCAATCTGAACGCCAGAACTGTTGTATATGCTATATTTTAAAGACTCATCTGATTAGAGAGAAACACATAGGTAAGTACATCTAGACTGAAAGCAAGTGAAAAAGAGTACTACATGGTAAAGGGGCAGGGCTTTACTCCAAATGCTTAAGTTAAATTATTTATCCTATGCCACCCTTTGAAATTTTCTTCTTTAAAAGGTGGCTGGGGCTTCTTTGGTGGCGCAGTGGTTGAGAGTCCACCTGCCGATGCAGGGGACACGGGTTCGTGCCCCGGTC